GAACGATTTTTCCTCTCCACAACACCATTTTGTTCTGGTGTATAAGGAGTAGAAAAATTGTGTTGAAAGCCATTTTCCTCACAAAAGTTTGAAAAACTTTGATTTTCAAATTCTCCCCCATGATCAGTTTTAATGCTGGAAATGGAATAGCCCTTTTCATTCTGAACTCTTTTTGCAAATTTTGAAAAATATGAAAGTGCTTCATTTTTATGAGCAAGGAAGAACACCCAAGTAAATCTTGTGAAGTCATCAACAATGACTAAACAATATTTCTTACCACCAATACTCTGTGTTCTGGTTGGTCCAAAAAGATCCATATGAAGAAGCTGCAAAGCACGATTAGTGGAAACATGATGTATAGACTTGAAAGAACTTCTTACTTGTTTTCCTAGAGTACAGGCATTGCATAACTCCGTTTTCTTGTATTTCAAATATGGTAGACCTCGAACCAGTTTCTTGTTTGAGATCTTTGAGATTTGTTTCATACTGATATGCCCCAATCTTCTATGCCATAAATCTTCATCCTCTTTGATTGAGATCAAGCAATGAGTGGAGATTGGATTGACATCTAGAAGATAGATATTGCCATGTCTTCTTCATGTAAATGTTTGAGAAGAATCTTTACTTGTCCCTGAGCATGTATCTTCTTGAAAGTTGATTATGAAACCTGTATCACATAGTTGGCTTATGCTTATCAAGTTGTAGTTGAGTCCTTTCACCAAAGAGACATCATTGATTGTAAGTCCTCCAATTTCTACTGTTCCTTTGCCAACAATTTTTCCTTTGGTATTTCCTCCAAAAGAAACTTTTCCACCATTCAGACTGTGTAGATCAGCAAATATGCTTGGATCTCCTGTCATATGTCTAGAACATCCACTGTCTAGGTACCACTTCCTTTTTCTCTTTGTGGTAACCTGCAAAAATCACAACATCTCAAGCTTTCTTTGGTACCCAAATTTGTTTGGGTCCTTGAGTATTAGTATACGCTGTCTTAACAAAATCTCTTCTAACAGGTCTCCAGACCTTAGGACATTCATTCTCAAAATGTTGTGGATCTCCACATTTTGAGCACCTGAGTGCACTTCGGCCAACAGGTTTTACAAAATTCCTTTTGAAATGATTTTTATAAGCTTGTCGAGGAGGTCTTTGTTTTAATCTCTCCTTGACCTTTGAAAAATCAATCAAGCTATCACTTTCCTTCACAAATCCGAGACCAGATTTGTTGTAGTAAGGAATTTGAATAGAAAGGATATGCTTCAAGATTTCTGAACCCTTTGAAAACTTGGAAGTAATTTCTGAAACTTGCTTTTTCAAAACCGCATTTTCTTTGGAAAGAAAATCTCGACTTTCCTTGACTTGATGAAATTCTTTTTGAAGGAAATCGATTTTCTCTTTTTGTGAAACATCCTGTTGCCTCAGTGATGAATTTTCCTTTTTCAAAGAAGAGATGCATTTAAGAGCAGTCTTGAATTCAAAGCATAATTCATCAATGTAATTTGATACTTCAATAGGCATGTCAGAATGTTTTACCTCAATTTCCACTTTGGGATCAGAATCTGAATCTGAGTCTAGGTCTGAATCTGACTTAGCCATTAGACAGAAATTTGAGATATCTTCATCACTGTCTTCACACTCTGTGTCACTCCAAGTTTCTGCTTTTAAGGCCTTCTTTGCTTTCTCAAACTTGGTCTTCTTTTTCAGAAGTGGACAATTTGGCTTAATATGTCCACGTTTCTTACAGTGAAAGCATATGACATCCTTAGATCTCTCTGTTTCATCGAGGGACTTCTTCATCTCAAAAGGCTTCTTACCTCTGAGGTTTCTTCCTTTGATCTTCATTTTCTTATACTTCTTTATAAAGAGAGCTAACTCTTCATCATCAACATCTTCATTTTCAGAATCTGCATCAGAATCAATATTAGTCTTTAAGGCAATTGACTTATTACCTCTGGATTCAATCTCCTCATTTCGCTTCTCAGTCTCATATGATTGAAGAGTTCCAATTAACTCATTCACTGATAGAGGCTTGATCCTTTGTATTTCTCGAAGAGATGTTTTGATTGTATCCCACTGATTTGTCAGTCCTCTCAGGAGTTTGTTGACTTTCATTGCATCCGGAACTGGTTGTCCTTGATAAGCAAGACCGTTTACTATATCAGTAAACCTGTCATACAAATCAGCAATTGATTCTCCAGGCTTCATTTTGAATGATTCATATTGACCAAGCAAAAGATTGATTTGAGTTTCCTTGGCTCGATTTGTTCCTTCATAAGTGACAAGGAGAGTATCCCATATTTCCTTAACTGATTCACAAGCAGCAATTTTTTTATATTCAATAGGAGATAAAGCACAATAGAGAGAATAAATTGCTTTGGAATCTAAAGTTTCTCTTTTGGATATCTCAGTTTGATATAATGGAGGATCTGTTGTTATGCTTGCTTCTGCCTTTTCTTTTGAACCAGAAGATCTTGGATTGACTCCTCTGATGATGACATCTCATTGCATGTGATCAATTGACTTTATGAATGCCTTCATCTTATTCTTCCAGACACTATATTCCTTGCCATCGAAATATGGTGGTCTGTTGTTGCTCTGTCCTTCAATGAGCCCTGGAGCACCAAAGCTAGCCATATAGATCGTTAGCTCAGAAGTAAAACACTTCAATAAATGAGCAACCTTGTTCTGATACCAATTGATGTAGCTAGCAAGGATCACCTAGAGGGGGGTGAATAGGTGATCTAAAACAATTTTAGAAAATTTATGCGGAAACAAAGTAAATCACAGAAGAGTCTGAATAAAATTCAGATTCAAGACAGATTATATAGACGGTGCTCTTGATGTGCAGTATGTAAAGTAAGAGTTAAGGGATAGAAAACGCACACAAGTTTATAGTGGTTCGGCTTATAGCAAGCCTACGTCCACTCTCCCACGCTTATGCCTCTTTTTCACTATGTAATCAAGAGGAATTACAACTTCTGAGAGTCAATACTCTTGTGTATGATAGGACTCTCTATCTCACACAATCACTCTTACAAAGTATCCCTCAAGATCTTAATGTTTTGCTCAGAACGACAAGAGAAATTATTGGAGTATGCTCAGACTTTGGACTTGTTGATTCTTGATTCTGTTCTTCCTTCTGCTGCTCGTTGATCTCCTTAAATACTCCTCTACTTCCAAACTAGCCGTTGGACAGCTTTCAGAGGATCATCTTCCAATCTTCACCTTGGACAGATTTGTATAAGGATTGAGTAGCCGTTGGTTGACAGATTCTGAATCCCGCTGATTCTGCTCGCCCATACAATCAGAATCTTGGTTTCCATAAGTAGAGTTTTGTCCGTTGTAATGCATTCTTGTCGTGATGTTTGATTTGTCAATCAATCTGATTCAGATTGAGACAATCAGAACATTCCTTCTGTGAAATCCATGCCAGATTACTAGCTGTTGTGATATGTTCGAATTCGTGCGAAGAAATTCACGTCAAGCGTGAAGAATTTCGGCGTCAGCCTCGAATAATTTCTTCGTCTGCATTTGCATCCGAAAAACTTCTACTTCGCATCCGCATCCGAATAACTTCTGCGTCCGAATCTCGGAACCTAGATTATGTGGGTCTTCAAAAACATACTTGACAGTTTGTAAAGTCTGAATAACTTTCTTCTGAGCTTCCAGAATATACAGACCTGGAATAAAATTATTCAGAACAAGTATCAGATTTACAAAAATATAGAAGGTTTTGTCAACTTCAAAATCAATAGGAGTTTTCCTCAACACATAGCACTTGACCGAGGGAGTGGTTATGTCTCGTATGTCCCCCTTTATTCTCGACATGCTATGGTGCCCCGAGTTCTTTCGATAGAATTGATATATATTGAACCGTTTACTCAATCTTGAAAACATCTTCAATTTCTTCCTGAAAAAGAAAAGGATGATTAAAGTTCATCTCCGAGAAATTAAAATATTTCATTAACTACCTAGAAGGTTACAGTTATGGTAATGATCTTTTTAAGGGCAAGGAGACCCGCTTTAAATAGGAAAACTTCCGAATAGCACTGCCAAGGAAAAATAATTCAATGTTTGAGCCACTTACATGTACTTTGGCTTGTCTTTTAACTCGGTTCATGAGATTAGTAGGATATTTCATAGTTCCGATATTTAACTACCTAAAACGAGCTTCGTTATAATACAAGAAAATACCCACACATGAATACTCCCACTGACATTATGGAATAGGAAAGATACAAGCCCAAAATCAAGCGGGCGATTGTAACCTTAAATTACTTAGAGTTGGTGATACTGAGAATCTAATTTGTGTCATGGACCTAATCTACACATCTAAGTCTCAATAGACCAATCTTATGAAGGTTAATTTTCTTTTTTCTAATGAGATGCTCACCCCACCCTCGGTGTCTCCATTAGATAGGTTATTGATTCCATTCTTACACGAGAATAAACATACCTATGCAATTTATCACTAATGTATCAATATTTGAGACATGTCGAGACACTAATGGAGACACCGAACGTGACAGAGGATCTTTACCCTCTTTTTTTTTTTTTCATTAAGTAGATATATCTTCCTCAAGGCAGCATTGGGGTTAGGAGAACATTTGGGAAATCCTTGAAAGTCATCTAAAAGTTAGTAGTAATTCAAAGGGTTAGCAATAGTTGTTGCTCTGCATCGGTTATTGTTGTTCGAATGGACGGTCGCATGGCGTCCCGAAGACACGTCAAAATCTCGACAAAAACTATATTCTCCAAAGTGCTGGCTTCGATACCGAATTAAGGGAATGATACCCTTCGCGTCCCTCCTGCTGTCCCGACCGATCTCGACAATTTTCACGTACCTTGGCCGCAAATTTCAAAGCGGAAGTATATATCCACATGGATGGATCATTAGGATGGGGGAAGATGCTCCTAAAAATACCTACCGGGCCCAAGGAAATTGTCCGCGGGGCAAAAGCTGTCTCTGCATGGGGAGGAGATCTCCCTGGGAGCGGCGAAGTCGAGCAATGATGAGCAGCATCCGTGATTTACAAGCCCAAGATATCATCGTTGCATCTAAGATTTCATAAATTACGAACAGGGTCAAAAGCATATGCTCTCCCCAAAGTTCGATACTGTAGTCCGTTTTGCGTTTCTTCGATTGCTACATATGATCCTATTGGCCGGAACAACGTATCCTTAATAATGTCTCGATGTAGGTAGCATCATTTGGTAGCTTTGTTTGCTCCAGCAAGTCAGAGCTCCAAACAAGAATATATTGGAGAGAGAGAGAGAGACAGAGGACTTGCTTGCGTTCTCAGTTCCCTGCACTGCACGGATTACCCAAAAACTTGGGCTGCCGAACCGGTTCGCAGGTACAACGATCGAAGGAAGCAGGGGCACAAGAAAAGTGAAACGACCACCACACCGTGAGTGAGATCAGAATCCAAATGCTGTCTCCTTCCTCTCTCGTACAAACACACCACGAACCCATTCGTCGTCTTTTCATGAATTCGCATCCTTCACTCTGAGTCCTCTGCATCGCTCTACCCCCAGCTTCGGAGGCTTCTTCACCTTTTTTTCCCATCACCCTTTTCATTGGAAAGAAAAAGATCGCTCCTTTTTCGTTTTCTTTTCTTATTCTTGAGCTCGTGATGGCGGCTTCAATGGCGGCCTCGCCGCTGTGTACATGGCTGGTGGCGGCTTGCACGTCGGTCTCCTGGGAGAACGAGCTCAAAGCGCATCCGCTTCAGTACCCCAGGAGACTTTCCAAGAGGCTGAAAAGGAAGGTCCTTTCAAAATGTTGTAGCGATACAAGCAATGCCCGGTCGCCCATTTCTGGATTGCTGTCATCTTTCTATGGATCGAACATTCAAGGTCTCATGAGTTCGTGTTTGGCTTTCGAGCCTTGTAGTGATTACTGCAGATATAATGGGCTCTCGTCTCTGTTTGGATCGAGAAATGTTGGCATAAATCGGAAGCAGAAGCGCACAAATCGAGCTCGCTCCTCTGGTAAAGTTCTTTTTTCATGTTAAAAATACGTTCTTTAATGATTGCTTGTTATCAGTAGTGTAACATTTGTCCCTGCTATGGTCTTCATCGTGTATGGGCATCCGGGGTGGGTTTGTTTTCGTTGTTTGATGCGTTTTTATTTTAATATTTATCTTCATTTGTGAGTTGCCATGGGCTAGTTTTGTAAGCACCCATTTGGCTTATTCAAGCGTCTTTCATTCTAAAGTGGACGCTTGATCTGATATCGATGTGGGTTCCTTCGTTCGTTTGCTCTGTGAGAATTTTGATCTGATTTATGATGAGGACATAATATGCGAATCCGATTTTGATTCTGCTTCATGATTAGGCTCAGAGTGAGATAAAAAACTCGAGATGCGAATGTGGGTTTTCGTAATCTAGAAACACACACGGAATGCGCCTATCCACTTTGCTGGACTGTGCGGTTAATTTGTTCTTATGCGGGTTAGAGCACTATCATGAAAATTTGACTGCTAGAGTCCAACCTTTTGTATCAAGTTGTGACTCTAGTGTGGAGAATTCAATTGCAAATATAGTTGGAAAATTTTTTGACTTTCTTATAAAAAAAAAAACCCTTCTAGTTGTTCATGCTTGCTCTAACTCTTTAGCTACTGAAAATGAAGTTTTTAAGAAGTGGATGGGGGCACACGGTACCAGTTTCTACTTTGAAATGCTGTAGAAGATCAGTTATCTGGCATTCTTCTTAAAAAAAATCTTCTCTAAGTATGATATTCCAATTGAATTTGGCGATTTGACTTGTGGTTCCAACTTAACCTTCTGATTCTAACTTTATACAGCAGGGTTACTGTGTTAGAGCAATAGTTGCAGAAAACCTAGTCACTTGACATTGTGAAAGTTTGTGTTCTTTCTTTCATTTGCTAATCACATGGCAGACTTATGTCGTTTGAGTCTGCCAAATAATCTTCTCTCTGTTGAAATAATCATGATTTTGGCCGGTGCTTTAATGTGAACATGCTCAGAAAGTGATTACTATTTGGAACCACATCTCTTTGCTAGCAGGAAACATACTATGTAGATGACTTAAGCAGATTTCCTGCAGAAAAAATGAGTGGTGATTTGCCACCGCATTTTGACTTGATGCACTTATTCAATTTAAGTTGCTTTCTGTAGCTTCCATGTATGGATTTTATCTGGAGGTCGTTTCAGTACAGTTATGAGTAATGCTGAAAGATGCTAGTGCTGGCAATTGTTTTACTACATTTGCGAGGTGCATTATTTGTGACAAGTTGGTCATAAATACAGGAGAAACCATGGCAGTGGCCTTACAACCTGTTCAAGAAGTTTCAACGATGAAGAAACCTGTAACGAAGCAAAGGCGGGTAGTAGTGACTGGGATGGGTGTGGTAACTCCCCTAGGCCATGATCCGAACATCTTCTACAATAATTTGCTGGAGGGTGTCAGTGGTATAAGTGAGATAGAGACATTTGACTGTGCTCAATTTCCAACGGTAGGTGTCGCCTTCCCCTTCTACTTTTTTTGTATCTAGTTTTTACCTGATGAAATCCATGTATGTTTACCAGAGAATTGCTGGGGAGATCAAGTCTTTCTCAACTGATGGATGGATTGTTCCAAAACTCTCTAAGAGGATGGACAAATTCATGCTTTACATGCTCACTGCTGGCAAGAAAGCCTTGGCAGATGGTGGAATGACTGATGATGCTATGAAAAATCTGGACAAAGCTAAATGTGGGGTTCTCATTGGCTCTGCAATGGGTGGGATGAAGGTAACTTGATGCTTTTAGTCAACCTTTATGAAGTTAAGGGTTGCATCTTCTAGCCGTTGAGATTTTGAAGAGGGTGGAAAATGGAAATAGTCCACTTATTTGCAGCTTAGACATCATTGCCTAACTGTGTCTGAAACTCTGAATGGCATTTCAGAGATGCATTCATTTAAAATGGAAAGGATGTTTTTTCAGATGCGGCGGTTCACATTCTGATCGAGAGCTTTATTGAGAGCCCAATCAGACTTTATCTGGCCATGTTACTCTATCTGATTCATCTATTCCTTATGTTTGGTACCTTTTAAATGCACAGGTTTTCAATGATGCTATTGAAGCTTTAAGGATATCATACAAGAAAATGAATCCCTTTTGTGTACCTTTTGCAACAACTAACATGGGTTCAGCCATGCTTGCAATGGATCTGGTCAGCCTAATTTTCAATATCTCAATATTGAAATGCATTTTGTTCCGGCTGATTTTTCTGATTATATTTTATTTATTAAACCGAAGGGATGGATGGGCCCTAATTACTCTATATCAACTGCTTGTGCTACAAGCAACTTTTGTATACTGAATGCTGCAAACCACATAATTAGAGGAGAAGCTGTAAGTTTTTTAAATCGAAAGTTGCTTTGTGATGAATCTGCTTCATTTGTGTTGGCCGAGACTTGTTCACATTAAAATAAGTATAGCTATCCTGGTGACTCAAACTGCATAATTTTCTGAGAATTGTGGGATCTTGCAGGATGTGATGCTTTGCGGTGGCTCAGATGCAGCAATTATTCCTATTGGTATAATTTGCCTCCTCATCTTTGTCGTGTGCCTCACTGAGTCCATCAAAAGCTGCAGTGAGAGATCTTCTCACATTGTCGTTGTTGCTGCAGGTTTGGGGGGTTTTGTGGCATGCCGAGCGCTTTCACAGAGAAATAGTCATCCTGCGAAAGCTTCAAGACCATGGGACATTGTATTAGCATCTCACAACTTGCTTTGTTTCCTCTGCATCTATTTTTCATCCAAAGGATTTAGAAACGTCCACAAAGATCTTTCTAGACCTTTTTCAAAGATTCAATAAAGCTCTGTTTTTTTGGAGGCTGGAAGAAAATGCTGAGTATTGAATGCTAAATTCTTCACTTGGTGACAAGTTTTTTTAGTCTGAAAATAATTTAACGAATTTGAGGAAACGTAAAAATTGAATACCCATTTCTGAAATTTAATTGATGATATGGCTTGTGGTAAAGACTAGTGGAGAGGGAAACACTCTGTTATGAGCCTTGTGACTGTAATTTAATAATTTTGTGAATATGAACTGGAGGCAAGTGCATTATCCCGATTAAAATGTGAGCATGGCTTTACAGAATCGCGATGGATTTGTCATGGGAGAAGGAGCTGGAGTTCTGCTCTTGGAGGAATTAGATCATGCTAAGGTACCTACACATTTTGTTCCTCTCATCTATGCTGGTGGTCCTGGGTGGTGCTGCTCAGTGCATCCGGTATCTGGTGCTGCACCTGGTCACTGTCTGATCTATGGCTGGGCCCACGTGAATACCACTGGATCAGACAGTCACCAGGTGCATGGTGCACTGCACACCATGCTCAAGCCTGGTTATGATTGGTCAGTGATTCAAGATGACACGTTAGTGTTTCCTTGCAGAGTAGAGGTGCAAACATTTATGCAGAGTTTCTTGGTGGAAGCTTCACGTCCGATGCTTATCACATGACTGAACCTCACCCTGATGGTAATTTTTCCTCTTAAATTCTTACTGTCTGGGCAGTGAAGTCTCGACAGTCACTGAAACTTTTTAGTTGGTTTTATCTCTCTTTTCTTTTATTTTCTTCCTCCTCTATCTTTGCTATACACATTCTTTTCCGTATTGTGGGACCTTATCTTTGTTAATCTGACCTGTTTTTTGTGGGAGATAGGAAGTTCTAATACGAAATAGAAAAAGTAAGAAGGCCTTTCTGTTTAATCATATTATCCCGCCCTTCTTTTGTACAAGAGGAATTAAGAGATCACATCCAAACGAACCTTTGATGAGCTTCAGAAATTTTTGGTGTGATTTATGTGTTCTTTTCGGTTTGTGGTCAAAGTTTTTTTACATTCACTATAATATAGCTCGTGTGGTCAACCAAGTCATGGGTGTAGCCCTGTAGCGTCATTCATGGTCATGGTCTTTGGTGTAAAATCACAAAGTACTTGTACTGATTTTTAGGTTGCATCTATTATCTTCTTGACAGTCAATGATCATCAACTTTTAAGACTTGCTCCAGTGCACATCTTATCCTGTTACGGAGTCAAAACTTGAACTCACGATCTGTTCTCTAAGCAGGGGTGGGCGTTACTCTCTGTATCGAAAAGGCCTTAGCTCAGGCTGTAGTGTCTAGGGAAGATGTAAACTACATAAATGCTCATGCTACATCTACTCCAGCTGGAGACCTCAAGGAGTACAAAGCTCTTGCCCATTGTTTTTGCGAAAACAGTGAGGTAATGCAGATGTAAATTCTTTGCTAATTTATGCCAAGGTGTATCTTTACCAAATTTTGGTGCCTTTAAGATTACCCATTTATGCAGGTAAAAGTGAATTCCACTAAGTCCATGATTGGTCACCTACTTGGAGCTGCTGGTGCTGTGGAAGCTGTGGCGGTTGTACAGGTATTAGCCTTTTCACTCTAACTGAGCTATGCAAGACTCACAGGAGAACTTTAAAAGTGCCTTCTTGGAGTTGTCAGATCTGATTAATGTTCTTGTTATAGTAGATTGAGTGTACATACAATCTCACTATTTCTCCATGCTAAAGATGAGACTTATTGGACTGACCAGAATTTCATTTAGTCACGGTTTTGTCGATTTTACTCTAGTTTTGGGTGTGGATATGTGTTCTCAATGCAGGCAATTAGAACCGGGTGGGTTCATCCCAATGTTAATTTGGAAAACCCAGATGAAGGAGTGGTACGCTTTCGCATTTCCTGTACTACGCTCTTCGTCTCCAATGTTAATATTTTGGACATTGAGCATTAACTGTGAAAATCAATTAGGATCCAAGCATGCTGGTTGGCCCAAAGAAAGAGAGACTAGACATTAAGGTGGCTTTGTCTAACTCATTCGGATTTGGTGGACACAACTCATCAATACTATTTGCCCCGTACAAATGAATCATCCTTGGCGGGCTTTACGATGCAATAATCGAGCCGAAGGTATGCTTCTTGGTGCTTCATATTTCTGTCTCTTTGGCCACTTGATAAGAGATCCAAATATTTTGGGTAAACAAATGAAACTTGTTAGAGCAGGGGACTCTACATTGGTCCAACTCTGATGTCTTTTTCCTCTTGTCGGATGTTTTTCAGATGGATGTTGGCATTATAGAATGTGAAGATGTTTAGAGTTCACCTAGGATGCCGGATGCTCAGCCATAAGTAACCTCCTCGCACTCCATGGATAGCTGTCATATACAAATGGGATTTTGTCGGACAGCACAATGGAGAAGAATCCAAGGCCAAGACATGTTGCTAGTCATACTCATTTGCCAAAATTGTTATTGTGAATTATTGCTAATCATCTGTAGCCACACTAGGGCATGATGCAGGGAGGTACACCATGCTAACTTCTCGTCTTTCTTTGTATGTGAACATATATCGAAAGACTAGAATGTTGTAGAGATCAGTTTCTGCGAGTTATCATCCTGCAATTCTCTTCGCTATTTTAGATTTTCCTTGGCTCCATATGCTGCTCTGTTTCTTCAATTTCAAATTTTCTTGCCCCCTTCTTTCAATGCTTTTCCCAGTGGTTAATGGGATAATATACCATTGGCGAGTATAAAATCCAAAGTGAAAAGACGTATAAATTGAGGGAACTGGACCAAGATATAAGTTGAAATGACAAGGTGGCCCCGGCATGGTCCATAAGGGCCCGGGACATGGATAATGCCTGTTCGCCGAATCGCCGTGCCAATCCTTGGGTTAGCTCACGGGCCAGGCCCCAAGCAGCCCCTCAGGCTGCCTGCAACACATTCGAGTTTGCACTAGGATTTTAGGGTCTTTTCCAATTTTGAACATAAAGAACAAGTTTATTAGAGAGGGGGGACAACAGGGCCAGACACATATGTTCAGGATGCAGGTGACAGATGCTTAGGTGGTCCAAGAACTGTACTAACAAAATTGTTCAGCCTATTGCATCTGTACTTAAAATTATATGTACAGCAAAATTGCACCATAAACCAATTGGTCTACGACTCTAGCACCAGGTAGCTCACAATTTTCTGCGCACTAATTCGCACAATCGCAAGCACTCGAATGAATCCACTGTGCTGGACTTGTCACAGTTTCTATTCACTTGCCTTTCTTTTTGCCTGCTTTATTTGCCCTCTTTTTTGACTTGGTGCTTTTGAGGGAGAGTGCGCTCGAGGCACTCTTGCCTTCAAGCATTTTCGTCATCTTCACGACGCTTGCCATTCCTCTCCTCGCTGCTGCCCGGTGCTCTGGTCTCCGGCTCATCATCTTACGATCGAGAGGCCAGTAGGCATAGGGCTCAAGCTTGTCTTTCCTCGTCAAGTCTCCACGAGCTTTCTTACTAGCATACTCATTCCCTGTGTATGCCCAGCCTGATTCTGACGTTTTTCTACGCTTCTGGGCTTTCCTTGAAGAGTCTTTGGAAAGATAACTACCAGCTTCACTCCTGGAATCTGAATCTGGGACGGCTGCCGAGGATTTCTTTGACCTTTCTCCCTCATGGATTACTAGACGACCTTCGGAGTCTATCTCTAAGTCATCATCAGACTCTGCCTTCCGTTTGCCTTGCTGGGATCCTCTAAGTGCTGACCTCATTTTCTGCCGATCAAGCAAATCAAGAGGTTCATCCTCCAATTGGTCCATAAGGTCTTCTGGCAGGCTCTGGGCAGATCTATGCAATCTCTTGGACCTAGACAAATTGAACATTTGTATAAGTGCAATGGTAGGATGATAGCTGGCTATCTAAATCATTGGACAGTCTAAAAAAAGCTCTTCAACAATACAAGTGAATTGAGATGTATCAACGAGGCAAATGGTTCCTATTTTTCAGCAAAATAAACAAAGTAGTTCATTCAACAGTGTAACAGAAAGCTCTTCAAAAAGATAAGTGAAATGAGATGTGCATGAATGAGGAAAACCTTCCGTCTGGCTCAAATATGCACAAGCTGCTAATATTTTGTGCAGAAATGTCTCGCCCACCTATAACACGTGCATAAAATTTTTGCAAGAGTGCAGCATCAAGTACCCACCGTAATGAAGTAGCCTTTGACTTCAACAATGAGGCAGCCCTGCTCCGTCTGCCAATATCTGTCTCACCGTCCATATAATCAGTCTCACCATCCGTGCTGTCTTCATCACCAGAATCAGAAAATATCTTTGTATGATTCCATCTGCTATGCCTGACGAGGGAGAGAGAGAGAGAGAGAGAGAGAGAGAGAGAGAGAGAGAGAGAGAGAGAGAGAGAGAGAGAGAGAGAGAGAGAGAGGAGGATCAGTACAGTAATAATTCCAATGGATGTGGTGAAATAATGTAGAGGGGGCAAAGTTGACTGATAACAAACTCTTTCCTAACAGTATATGCTACTTTGATTTAACTGATCTAGATCTGTACTAGATGTCTCATGCATCTGCGCTTATGTTTCCAAATTTGCCGGACTAAAGCATGGTAATCATCAGCCAGAAAATAAGAGGCATAAGACTAGTCCGAGCTTGCTTGCTGCCGCTTCAATCTTTCCAATTTGGACATAGTTCAGAGGACGCATATAATCAGCATGAGAGAGAGAGAGAGAGAGAGAGAGAGAGAGAGAGAGAGAGAGAGAGAGAGAGGAGGATCAGTACAGTTAATAATTCCAATGGATGTGGTGAAATAATGTAAAGGGGGCAAAGTTGACTGATAACAAACTCTTTCCTAACAGTATATGCTACTTTGATTTTACTGATCTAGATCTGTACTAGATGTCTCATGCATCTGCGTTTATGTTTGCAAATTTGCTGGACTAAAGCATGGTAATCATCAGCCAGAAAATAAGAGGCATAAGACTAGTCCGAGCTTGCTTGCTGCCGCTTCAATCTTTCCAATTTGGACATAGTTCAGAGGACGCATTTAATCAGCATGAGAGAGAGAGAGAGAGAGAGAGAGAGAGAGAGAGAGAGAGAGATTTCAAACATCCATAGTCATGTATAATGAGAATTCATTTACTAGTCCAGCCTAAGACGGTATGTCTTAAAGAAACCAAGCATCGTTTCCAGAATTAATTGGAAAAATGCAATTAACCAAGCTAGAGGATTTTTTCGATTCGAAGGCCCTGCACAATTACGGGTATATCTTATTTCTCCTAGTCACGCTGGAGATAGCAGAGGTCTGAACAGAGTGCAGGATGATGCTCAATGGAAAGTTTTACGATTAGAAATGGAAAGCTGAACATAGGATGCACACACATGCCTGTGCCCTTGCTTTGAGAGAGAGAGAGAGAGAGAGAGCAAACTAAACACATTTACATACTCACCCTGAAGGATTAACTCTGGAGGATCGTGATCCAGAAGATGATCCATTCAGTTAGTGGTAAAATGCTGCAGACTAAAACAGACCTATGTATTTAATCCCCCGCCCCCACCAAAAAAAGAAAGAAGAAGATGAAAAAGGGAAAAGAAGAGTAATAGCAATCCCATGCAGTCATAGGACGCCTTTTTATCCAAGCAAAGTCGATTCAGAAGTGACATGCGGAAAATGTAAACAGCAGAATCCACCAATCTGAATTGCGTGCATTTGAGAGAGGGAGACAGAGACACACACCTGGATGTGGTGGCTTTGGACAGATGAGATCTACTTTCCTCTGAATTAGTTGCCCGTTTCCTCTCCTTTCGCTCCTTGATCTATATGGAGAAACGGTTAACAAAAAATTCAGAGGACACTAGATAAAATTGCACGGGAAGATGATAAAAGTACCTTTCTTATATTAGTAAGGAGTTTCATGTGTTCTTCAGGCATTACAGCCTTTACAGCATCCAAGCCACATTTCTTGACTAGCATTTCCAGGAGGACTTTAACCTATTGAAAAATAGTAAGCAGAAGAATCAATCCTTGCAGTAACATCAGTTAACAGCTCACCCGCAGCATGATGGGGCGAGATTTTCCCAGTATTGTAGTAATCAGATAAATACCAAACGATGATGCTGAATCTAGCCATCAAATAGACAGCCAAGGAAAAACTTGTTCAATGATTCAACAGGGGAAAAGAAAAACCAGCTGCAGCTCCATTATATCTCTACACTTATATCCCTTATTAAGCAGCTACTGACATATGGAAGAACGTAAAACATATGGTTTGATATCAATGCGAAGTTCATATTAACATTTTTCGACAGTCAAATTGACAATAGTTAGCTTGTTTAGTTAGGTAAAAACATTTCCATGAACATGAAACCCTGGTAAGGGTGTGACGTCATCCTCTATAACACCAAGCAACTTTAAGGAAAAGGATTACTAGCTTCCACAGCTCAGAAGAACTCCAGAAATAGTAACACACTTCAGAAAAGAAGAAAGCCTGCTTCTTCCAAGAAAATATAGAACAGAGGAAACATATGACTTAAGAACAACAAAAACCTTGCAGCATAGGACAACTTAATTTAAGAAAAAAGGAGATAATTTGAAACCTTTGATTTAAAATGATTTTTTGTGTTATCTTGCCACTTCAACAAGCCTTCCACCATGCCCCCCAAGTGCATCTGCAACCAATCTACTTGAGATTTGGCAACCAGTACCTTCAGAAGACCTAAATTTGCCTGCATAAGTAAACCGATTCCATGAAGCCAATCATTCACTATTACAATAAACCAACATCCACACAGACATAGAATGGAACTTACCTTAATTATTTCTCTGTTCTTTCTCCGAAGAAGAAGAAATGTGGAAGGAAGAACATTGTATGCAGTTGAGACAAGATCTGTGAACTCATAAGCCAAGCGAGCCAAGCCTTTCGCTGCAGCACTGATCATATGAGGAGTTTCACCTGCCAAACCTCCAGCTACCTGCTCCAATAGCATAACTAAAGAGTAAGTACTAATCATTATTACACCTTGATCAATTTTCAGAACCGATATCCCCCAGACAGAAGGCAACTTTAGCAAAAGCTGGTCATATAAAACCTGGCCAGAAAACTGGCACTTAGCACATATGTCAACTTAGAATGTCAGCAATCAACAACCAGATAGACTACACACCATGTTAAAAAATTGAAGCAAGTTCTCCTTTGTTCCACCCTTGTCTTCATCACCACATGCATGCCCAATTTCCACAAGGATGTCATATGCCCTGTTTCTAGTCTTCTTGTTAGCCTGTAAAGGCATAATATAATGTAATGAGCATCTTATCAGGAACCTGATGAAACCAATCAAAAAAAGAACAGTAGATGTATCATATAAAGTAACAAAAGAACTATAATTAGTCAACATAAAGTACCTCTTTCAACGCCAATATTATCTCAGTTAAGAATGAACAGACGATCTCAGGTTTGGTTTGGTCTGAACCATCCTATAAACAAGGAAGACTTTTAAGTATTTTATCCATCAATAGATTATTGAGATGTTTGAATAGATTGGAAGAAGGTTTTATCGTACGTAATCAAATGAAGAGCTAGAGTTTCAACCTTAGAAAGATGGACTATAAGAAAGTACAAGCATTCGAGCCTATAACGTTTTGCTGAGAAATGACATGTT